AAATACTTATATAAAAATAAAACTAAAAAAAGCATTATATATAATTTAAAAATATATTATTTTATTTTTATATATTATTAAAAATATATTATTAAAAAATATATTATTTTACTGAGGCCGACCTCGTGATCAGCTAATAAAATCGTAATTAAACCACATTGCTTTGTCTTTTCTCGTTACTTTTTCACTATTAATTTTTTTAACGGTTGACCGGAAACGCCCGTCAACATTATTAAAAATATATTATTTTTTATATTATTAAAAATTATATTATTTTATTTTTATATATTATTAAAAAAGCATTTATGTATAATTTATTAAAAGTATATTATTTTTTATAAAAAGCTTTTATTTAGTTTTATAACAAAAAATGATAATGTCATTCCATTCAAGTCATATTCCTTCTGCATACCAAACGCATAAATGACAAAAATTGTTTTATTCCATTCCCATAATCATTCCATTGTTCAATTCATTCCATTCCTACGAAATTTAATTCCAGTATACCAATCATGCCATTATAACTAGTTAATTCCCAACATCGTGATAAATTATTCTAGCAATAGCATTAAATACAAGAGACCGATAGTCCAAACAATAAATAACTAATCCGTTAAATATTAACTTGTTCAATTTTTTCGCCTAAGAATGACAACGCCTAAATCCGGTCAGTTATCTATGTTAGATTCTTGACATGATCTAAATTCGGCTCAAGTATCAATCAAGCAATTGATCGCATCCATAGAATAACAGGTCGCCAATCTCTCAACTAAGCCTAACAATCCTAAAAATAAGCACACAAAACATTAATGCGAAAAATATATGAATTAGAATAAAAACTAATTCGATCTCACAGTAGTAGGTCTGGGGTTTCGATCGTCTTCAACCAAGATAAAGAGCCGCGGCTATCATAATCAAAAGGAAAGAAAAAGAAAAATAATGAAGAAAATAGAGTGAATAAGAGCAGTTCTCTGATCCGCCGCCTCTGTGTGCTTCTTGCGTGAGTCTGCTCCCCAACAGATCTGTTCTCCTTTTAGCATGCAGCTGGTGTAATAGGTTACGTAATCTTTTTGGGCTTAATCCTTGAATTGGCCCAGTTGAGAAATTTGTTCTAGAATAATACCAACATGGTCATGCTTGAATTCAACGTAATACTGACACCGCCATGTCAGTTCAAGCGGCTGAGACTTTGGTCTTTCAATATTGCTATTGGGCTTGGTGTTAACAGGCCCTCGTCCAAAAATAATAAGCTACGCACCATCCATACTGACATGGCCATGTTCAACAAAACCCAACGCTACCATGTTGCTTATATGAGCACCAAGTCAAGCTCATGTGATCCATTTGCTCCAAAATATAAAAAACCCCACTAAAAAATACAAGATAATGTCAAACATATGTCAATGAACTCCAATATTTAATATAAATCCTAAATTAATCCACTAACTCGACACATATTTTTTACTTATCAAACATTCCCAAGCTTAAATTGATGCTTGTCCTCAAGTATCAAGTCAAATCCTTCATCTCACCTCATAGTCATCATCTATCTTCCTATGCTAACTCAAAATATTTTGCATGCAATGAATAAAAGTTAAAGTTGAGTCCCCATCCACCGACACCAATGAAAAATAAACTCAACAATCACATAACTTAAAACACATGAAACCAACACTTCTCACGAGATTCACTCTTGCACTCAAAAGTGTATAGGCTAAGTGTTAAGTTTACGCTCAAGTCAAGACGTCAAAGATTTTTACCATTAGCTTGCAAAGATATCATGTCCAACCATCCAAAATGGAAATGAATAAACACAAAATCAAAGGGTTAAAAATAGGGTGTAATGGGGTTTAGGGTAAGGTGGGATAAGAAAGATTTAAACTAATGGAATCGAGGCAATCATACAAACCCTTCGTAAGTCGAGCTTAACCAAAATGTAAAACAAGCTAATCGTGCGATCTCAATATGCATCCAACATAGAAATGACCTAACATAATGCTCTTTCAAGCTTGAAGTATCATTCTCTTAGGATGTGGTTCAAATGAGAACCAAGTCCTAGTGTGAGAACCGTGAGAACCGCTATTTTTAATTGTATGTAGTGCTATGATTAATTGTGTTTTAGTGCTATTTTTAACTAGGATGTATTTGATTAAAAATAGCAACAAAATTTTTATTAGCATTTATGAAAATGATAGCACTATGTAATATTAAAAATAGCATCATACACAATTAAAAATAACATCAAATATGGTTCTCACGGTTCTCACACCAGACATAGTTTTTATTTGAACCAGCCCCTATATATATATATATATTGTATGTGCTCATCGAATTTTAGTTTATTGGTTAGTTAGTTCGTTCGGAAATTTTTTGGTTCAATCGCGTAGTATTATATTCAAACCATTTTCAATCATCTCTCTCCAACCGTGGACTTGGTCCGTTTTGTTTTATATTTTTTGGTCCAAAACCGTGGGAGAACCCAGCTCATCTGACCTAGCAAAACCGATCGAAGCCTTAGCAAATTTTGGCTCCCATTCAAAGGTTACACATTCAAATTTGAGAGTTTTATTACGAGAAGATTTGTCAGCCCGTTTAAGCCTCTTTTGACTGGATTTATAGTGCCTAAATGCCATTTGATAGCATCTTAATTTGGTATGTATTAATTCTTGGAGATCCCTTTTGATAGCCTTGATTTTCCTTAAGTAAAAGAGACTCACCCTTCTCTTATTTCTCACGTCTTTGCAACATCAGATCAAGAGAAAATCCATTCTCCAAAACTCTGAAGAGAAACCCTCAACAATCACCACTCAAAAGCTCCCTCCATCTTCTTCTTTTTCCCTCTCGGCAACCAGCCCTGTAGCGCACCGTTCGTTTATTAGAATTTTTTTGAATTTTATATGTTTATTTATTTGTTTATAATTGATTAATTGCCTTTGTTTTATTTAACTGCTCGTCTATGTCTGTCTTATTTATCTGCTTATATATTGAACTGCTATGTGGTATTATTTATATGAATATTATGTGTTTATTTATTACTTATGTGTTAGAATTATTAAGATTTAATTGATTTAAATTTATTTGATTCGGCAATTTTCGATTTAATCGCGTAAACCGAACTTTTTCCGTTTTAATCCATTTTCGAGCCGTTTCGACCCGAACCTTAAATACTATTATTCTCGATTCATTGTTGTCCATTTTCGGTCCATGTGGAACCAAAAAACCTTGCCTAAAATTTTAACCCAAAAAATTAGAGCGTGTTTGTTTATGCAAATTCTAACCCAAAAAATCTCAGCCAAAATTCATTCCACAGTGGATTGTGAAAGGGAATTCTCTGCAAATTTCGCGGCAAATTTGTTTGATGACAGAAAAACTCAAAAAAAAAAAAACATTAGTTAAAAGCAATTTTTTAATCATGGGGAGCGTAAGCAAGGATCGTAGGCACCCAAATTAACCTTGTTTAAAAATATGTAGTAGCGTGAGCAAGGATCGTATACACGGGGAGAAGTAAACAAAATCTATCAACTATGTGACTAAAAATGGGGATTTTGATTTAATGATCTAACTACACTAGAAATTCCCTATCAAACAATAAATAAAAATAATAATAAAAAAGTAAAACTCAATAAACGAAAATAAATATAATATGAATATGCCTTGGTTGAATTGATTTTCACCCTAGACTGTTCCACTGATCATTGACGCAAAAATATAAATTCACAATCCACGCAACTGCCGTTGAATATATATTCTATCTCCTAATTTAGTCACGCAAAGTAAATCCTTCTACGAGGCTCTTATAACTAGTTAATTCCCAACATCATGAAGAATTATTTTAGCAATAGCATTAAATACAATAGACCGACAGTCCAAGTAATAAATAACTAATCCGTTAAATATTAACTTGTTCAATTGTTTCGCCTAAGAATGACAACGCATAAATCCGGTCAATGCTTCTAGTGAAAGACACATGATCTAAATCTGACTCAAGTATCAATCAACCAATTGATCGCATGCATTGAATGACAGGTGGTCAATCTATCAACTAAGCATAACAATCATAAAAATAAGTACACAAAACATTGATGCAAAAAATATATGAATTGGAATAAAAACTAATTCGATCTCACAGTAGTAGGTCTGGGGCTTCGGTCGTCTTCAACCAAGACAAAGATAAATTAGCCGCGCAGGGCAATCATAATCAAAAGGAAAGAAAAAGGAAAAATAATGAAGAAGATAGAGTGAATAAGAGCAGACCTCTGATCCGCCGCCTCTGTGTGCTTCTTGCGTGAGTGTGCTCCCCACCAGATCTGTTCTCCTTTTAGTGTGGGGCAGGTGTAATAGGTTAAGTAATCTTTTTGGTCTTAATAGTTGAATTGGCCCAGTTGAGAAATTTGTTCCAGAATAATACCAACATGGCCATGCTGGAATTCATGTAATACTTACACCACCATCTCAGTTTCAAGCGGATGGGACTTTGGTCTCTCAATATTTCTATTGGGTTTGTTGTTAACAGGCCCTCGTCCAAATATAATAAGCTACCCACCGTCCACACTGACATGGCTATATTTAACAAAACCCAACGCTGCCATGCTGGTTATATGAGCACCAAGCCAAGCTCATATGATCCACCTGCACCAAAATATCAAAAATCAGTAGTTTCTACTCGAAAATACAAGCTAATGTCAAACATATGTCAATTGAACTCCAATATTTAATATAAATCCTAAATTAATTGACTAAATTGACACATATTTTTTATTTATCACATGGGTTGGAATGCCTCTTTTTTTTTTTAATAAAAATTCCCATCAAGCTTTTTTCTTTTCAGCAAATTTCGCGGCAAATTTGTTAGATGACAGAAAAACTCGAAAAAAAAAGAATATTAGTTAAAAGCGATTTTTAATCATGGTAATTAATTATGTATCAAGTTTTTTTTCCAACGATATCAATACTCCCCTAAACCCTAAATTAATGACAAGAAGTGAGCCCAATAGGCAAATTTACATAAGGGACAACCCCCAATCCAGGGTATCTGAGAGAAGAGCAACACAGCTCCCTAACCAGTACACAAACATAATACAAAACCCGCCACCACACTAGCAACAGAAAATAATGACTAAGATCACTCCAACCTCATCAATAACAGAACCAACACACTCAACATTCATCAGTCATAACAGAACAACACAGACAATACAAATTAGATAGATCACTGACACAAGACCTAACCTATCTACTATACTTATGTTGCAAGTAAGATGAGAACACTTCAGACACCAAGATAAATAGGTATGGGGATAGGGGGTCCCCCTGTCTAATACCTCTGGAAGATGACACATACCCACACACTCTGCCATTCAGGTTAAAGGAAAAAGTAGGAAAAGATATGCTGTTGATGATCCACTGAACAAATTTGCCATGATATCCCATCATACTCATGATTTTCCTAATACATTCCCATTCCACACGATCAGATGCTTTTTCCATATCCAGTTTAACTGCCATAAACACATTAGGCTCAGATCTATGTCTATGCAAGCAGTGAAAAACTTCATGAGTAATAATAACATTGTCCAGTAAAAATCTACCTGGAACGAATGCAGTTTGAGCTTGACTGATACACACATCCAGACAACTTTTCAACCTCTCAGCCAGCAATTTAGCAATGATCTTATATAATACCCCACATAAGCTTATAGGTCTGTAATTACTAAGAGCTTCAGGATACATACACTTAGGAATAAGAGTGATAATAGTATGCTTCCAGTTTTTCAATAAGTGCCCAGTTCTGAAGAAGCTACACACAGCCTTACACATCATCTTTAACAATATACCAAAATTTTTGAAAGAAAAGTGCAGACATACCATCATCTCCTGGGGCTTTCTCAGGTGCCATATTGAATACAGCTGCCTTTATTTCATCCTCTTCCATAGTTTTAATGAGTTCATTGTTGAGTGCATCAGAAATGGAATGTGTAATATGTTGAAGAAGCTCATCACTCCCACTAGAACCCTCTGAGGTAAATAAAGCTGAGTAAAAATTGGTAATATGCCTCTCCATGTCCTCATGCGTATCACAAATATCACCAGAAGGGGCAATCAATTTAGAAATAGAGTTTGATCTTCTCCTCTGAGATGTGAATGCATGAAAGAACCTGGAATTGCAGTCACTTGCTTTGAGCCACAGTGCTCTAGATTTCACCCTCCAATACATTTCTTCATCCTGATGAGCATGGTCCAGTTCAAATTTCTGCACACCCCACTCCTCCCAGTTCCTATCTCTGCCAACAAGTCTCATCTCCTCCAATTTTGCTTTGAGGGTAGAAATAACTTTCTCACTGTTCCTATGTACTGGCTTGTGCCAGGCTAGAAGAGCCATTCTGGTGGTCTTCACCTTCTGATGCACTTGGAACATTGCAGAGCCATCCACCTGCACTTGCCATCCTTCTTTGACAGCATCTTGCACACCCTCCATGGCTACCCATTGACTAATGAATTGAAATCTTTTGTGCCTCCTATCCAGCTCCTTATCAGTATAAAAAAGAATTACATTGTGGTCAGAAGCTGATCTGTAGAAGTTTGATGCCTTCATGTTTGGAAATTTAGTTAGCCACTCAAAGGACACAAAGATTTTGTCCAATCTCTCCTCCACATATCCATCATCACCTCTATTATTACCCCAAGTAAAAAATGATCCCAGCAGATCCACCTCTTGCATCTGCATGTTCATGATAAACTCCTGAAAACCCACAAAACTACTAGAACCCTTTCTCACACCCCTTCTTTTCTCCTCATTATTAACTATGTTATTCCAATCACCAGCCATCATCCAGCATTGCCCCCATTTCAACTTACTATCTTCTAGAAATGCCTACTGTCTTTCCCTTTCCCTCTATCAGTACTCACATACACAAATATCATCCAACACCAATCAGAGACCCCTGCACCTCAGAATTCATTCCCCAATATTTGCCTCACCTCAGTTGTATTATCCTATAGCAGCAGCAAACCTCCTCTTGTGCCAATAAGTTTTTCCAAATGCCATCTATCCATGAACCCAAGCTTTCTACAAACAGTTTGAGTAAACTTATAAGATTTTTTAGTCTCAGATAGAAATACTATATTTGGGTGGTGGATTCTTCTAGAATCCTTGATCTGGGAAACTGTAGAGGGCCGACCCAATCCTTTACAGTTCCACACCATGGCCTTCATTGGTCACTCTGGGGCCATTTATGGCTGGCCTTCTCCACCAAATGTTGTCCACAGTTGCCCTTCTTTCTCTTATCTGAAACATCATCTTCATCTTTCTGCCCTCCTCCATAGATCACCAAAGCTCTACTTCTCTTAAGAGACACAGCCTGATGAAGCTCACAAGTGGATTCAGGAACACTCTTCAGTCTACTCTTGGATGAGTCTCTCCTCCTCCACCTAGCACCAGTTCTCTTCCTCAGGTCATACTTACACCCAGAACCCTGTCCTAAGCCCTCAGAGACTTCCTTGCCCAACATAACATCTTCTATCTCCATTGGGTTCTTACCCTCTTCATCACCAGCTTCATGATCACAACTTTCAGTAATATTGTCACCACCACAAGTCTGAACCATCTTCTCTGCATCTGCAATATGCCCCATGATAGTCACTGGTTGTTGATGACTTACTCCAATGTCCTCATCACTTATGATCTATTTTGATAACCCTACACTAGGATTAGCATTAGCTGAGACCAGGGATTCTTGAATAGGACTGACATTTGGTTGAGTAGCATTGTCACCTGAACTGTCAGTTTGCATACTTCTTCCACCTGCAATAAGTCTCATTAGTCTTAAGACACTCCCCAAATTAGCCATCTACTACACAATCCTTCTCAATATCTTCCAATCTCTTACTACAGTTCCTTTCCAAGTGGCTAATCATCCCACAGTAGTAGCACAAGTTAACAAGCTTCTCATATCTAAATGCCACCATTACCTTCTGATTCCCCAGCTTGATAGAAGTGCATCGAGGAATAGGCTACTTGATATTAATAGCAACCAAAATCTTCAAAAAACTGCCAATTTCACCACCAACTTTGCAAACAACCACATTCTTAACTTATTAAATAGTTTGCCTACTTTCAACCCTACTTCAATGCTCATCCAATTCAATGGCACATTCAATACTTGAACCCACAGATTAATCTCTTCAAAACAATTGTGTTTGCTATTTAAGCCAGGAAACCATTCTTTCAGAATAAGATATTGGTTTTCATTCATCCAACTATATCCTGCTCCTACTTTCTTCTTATCTTCTTGAGATGGGAAAATGAACTAGAAAAAGTTAGCACTAATTTCCTTTACCTCCATCGAGTGCTGCATTCTCCAAATAGCACCCATCGTTCTTTTGATTCCCAGCAGCCCGACATGCCTATCACCCATAACCTTACCAAATAGACTCCGAGTGCATTCCTCCTCACTAGCTTTAATGTCATCTACTATTATTTCAACTTCACTTGCCTCTTTAGCTGATAGAGACATCTGGGTTAGTTTACGCATCACCACATCCTCCACCTCTCCTGCAAGACTACTCCCCGGTGAATTACCCTCCATGACAGAACTGGACACTTTCCCAATAGGCGAACCACTAGGATCGCAAACCCTAATTGAAACCTCACCCGAACACACACAACCAGAATATGGATGTACCCCGACCAACTCCCCAACGTACTAGAAAACAAACCCGAACAAGATCAACCACAACTCCCTCAATGAAGGAATTCACCTCTCACCAGAGAAAATTTCGCTCTCACCTTTACAAAGTAATAATTATCTAACATAATTAATTCTATCATTTTTAACTCATAACTTTATGTAACAAAATTTCCTTAAAATTTAAAAGTAGTGAAAATTAGACATAAGTCAATATTACATGAACATGAGCAAAAGGTTACACTACGACG